GTCGTTTTGACCTTTACTTGAGATTATAACATTCTAAAATCAATCAAGGTTAAAAAACAGGTACATAGGTGCTCAAAGTTTAAGACTAATCTTACTATAGTGAAGATAGAAAGAATAAAGTCCTTAAAACCTTATCTATTATTTGATGGTTTTTTCTACCTGAGACATCTTGGGAGGCAGGAAGAGGAAATTTCTTGCTAATCAAGTTTCGGAAAAGTTCTTTGAAGAAACTTGCTAAAAGGTTTTAAGTAAGTTTCCTTGAGGTCTAGACAGTAGAAAGCATAATTTGCTCTGAATAGGAGACATAGGTGAATTTCCTATCTAAAGACCAGATAGTAGAATCCTGAAAGACTAGCCAGAAAGACTTTTGTGGATTGCTTTGAAGTGTAGCAGGTAAAAAACTTGACTAGCTCTAAAACAGGCAACCTGGATGAATTTCCATATCCGAAGCCAGACAGTAGGAAGTTTGAGTAATTCTGTAGAAGCTGAATAGAAGGCTAGATAGTAGAATGATAAGATTTGGGTTTTCCTCCATGGCAGTGAGAGACTTTGCAGAATCAGCCCTTTTGCATTTATAGATCAGCCAGTTGTTAAGTCACTTTTGACTTCAGAGGAATTTTTCACCCTGGTGCAGTACTTGCTTGTCAGGGCAGACAGGCCTTATGTGGCTGAGGCAATCCAATTGTAAGCTGAAAGTTGCTCAGAATATTTTGATATTATGATTATACAAAAAAGGGAGGTCATAACATAAGCTAGCGTGGAAAGTCTGATTTTTCAGAGCTTTTCACAAGCTACCCCGAATCTGTCAGATGATAGCCGTCGCATAGCTTGTGTCAAGAAACAAAGACTTTCCACTTCTCAACAGAATAAAACCTTTTAGTAAATTGACTTGAGTGACAGCAGCAAGACTGATGAGCCTGGTGGGTCTCAGAACGGAGGACAGCCCCAGAGAGACATTGTACCTCAGGAAGATGTCAAGGAGCGAGGGGATTTGAGCTCCTGAGGAGAAGCAGACAAACCTCTTTAACTAGGAAGTTCATAGTCATGAAACCAGGGAAGACGCATTCTCAGAACAGGTTTGAAGGGTTCCCAGAATCTGTACCAAGCTGACTGTTGAAGATCTCCCCATGATGATGTCAGAATGTAGAGACAGGGAAGTGGCTGTTCTTTCAAACACCCAAATCTTAACAAAAGATCACAAGGCATATAGAGAAATGGGAAAATGCGACCCAAATAAAGGAACAGAACACATCTTCATAAACTAAGAGATCTATGAATTACCTGAAAAGATATTTGTACATCCATGTGTAAAGCAGATCAGTTACTGTTCAGACAGGTGGCAGTAACCCAAATGCCCACTGACTGATGAATGGACAAAAAAATGTGAATGGATAAAAAAATGTGCTCTATACATAAAATGGAATATTATGCAGCCTTAAAAATAGAAGAAAATCCTATCACATGCCACCACATGGATGAAACTTGGAGATATTTTTCTAAATGAAATGTATTAGTGACATAATGATAAATACTATATGATTCTACCAATGTGAGCTATTGAGGTAGTGAAACTCAGAAACAAAGAAGGAGTCATTGTCATTCGGTGAGTATAGAATTTCACTTTTGCCAGAACAAAAAAGTTGCAGATATCTGTGTCACAACAATGTGAAGACACTTGTAAGCGGGAGAGGTATGCCACTGAGCTATACACTTAATAATGGTCAAGATGGCAAACTTCATCTTAGGTCCTTACTGATACCATAATTAAATGTACAAATAAATGAACCTGAGTTAATAAAAAAATGATACTTTGCTCACACGCTTGCCTTTACATGGGAGTCATAGAAAATGCTTTAGTTTTAAAATCAGTGGTTCTTAACGAAAAACTGCAAAGATCTGGTTCCCTTTCCAGCAGGGGACATTGTGTAATATCTGGCGACATTTGTGGCTGTCACGTCTGGGGTGGAGTTGTTGCTGGCATCTGGCTTGTGGAGGGCAGCAATCCTGTTACACGGCTCACAGTGCCCCCTCCACCGTGCAGAATCATCCAGTCCAAAATGCCACGCGAGCTGCTTTTGAGAAGCCCTGTACGAACACTTCGATCTGCGTGTATGGTTACATCGTCCTTGTCTTCCCAGCGGGCGGGCAGAGTTCAGGCACTAGAATCAGCGACTGCGGACTGAAAGGTCAAGGCAGGATGGGCCTAAGCCAAGAGAAGAGAGAAAGGAGTCTCTGGTTCAGATATTACTGAAACGAAAGGAAAATAAAAGGAGAGGCTGGGGTGAGGAAGGTGGAGGGGGCTAGAGGCAGGTGCAGATGGAGGACAGTGGGTGAGCCACTTGGGCACCACCGCGCTGCAGGGATCTGTGCCGAGCGCTCTGCATGCCTTGTCAAGCTTTGCAACTTCTCTGTGTTCATTTAAAATTATAATAATAAATAAAATTTATAACAAAATAAAATTATAGTAATGCAGAAAGACGTCGTCTAGACGGCCACTGAAATGGCCTTGGCTGGTGGAAAGGTGGGGGACTGAGCCATGAGGGCGCCCTTGATTAAAATTAACAGGTGGTCTCTAGAGCAGGTTTTTGCATAGTTATATGAATACAGGAACCAGATTAGGCAATTGGAGGGGGTTGTGGACTTCATGCCCACAGTCCTAAGCCTTCTCCAAAGTTTGGGGAGAACCACCCATGACTCTCACCTTGAGGTGGGCAGGATGCATCCAGACCCCCTCCCTGAAGATGGATGGCCACCAGCAGCAAACCGGACCGAGTTCTGCCACTCCGGGAGCCAGTCCCCCTACTTTGTAGCCTTCCATTCTTGTAGCTGGCTGTGCTTCTATTACTACAATGTTGATAGCCCTCCGATAAATTCACATTGTGGCTGCATGCATCTGACTTGAGTCAAAGGTGAAACCTGCTTTATGGAAATTAGCACGCTGGAGAGCCTTAGCCTGATAAAACAAAGGGAAACCTCTGCTTGGGTTGGATGGGTTCAATGGCTTAATTGTTCTCAAGGGAACACGGTTGTGGCTGTCCCTCCTCTGTCAAGCCCTGGAGGAGAGCTGGGTCAAGTCTTTGCTGCGATGAGGTGCAGGGCAGGATGGGAAAATGCCAGGGGGCATCCTGAGAAAGGGGGAGGGGGGAACCAGGAGCCCAGGATAGTGGTATATTGGGGGAGGGGTAGTCTTTGTTGGGAGTGACCAAATGCGGAGATTTACTGAGGGACTGGATAAGGGCAATAATAAATCAGGCCTTGCATCCAAAGGTGATAAGGTGGTAATAAATTGGGCCTAGCATCTAATTAACGGGTTCTTGCTTCGGATGGGACTAGATGAAGGTGATAACAAACTGGGCCTTACATCAAGGACACAGGGATGAGTCACCCCCTTTGAAATCTGAGTTTAGGACCTATATAAGAGACCCTTCCCCCTTACTGGGTTGGCAGTAGCTGCGGACCCCACTCTAGGGGCTCCGTCTCAGCTGCTGTCCCGGAGCAATAAACTCTGCTTGCTCAGCCTTCTGCCTCCCACCTTCCTTCTTGCGGCCGGTCACAGAAGTTGGGACAAAACAGTCTTTTGTCTCTCTTTCATCATTTCTGAGTCTGCTTCCTCCCTTAGATTCACCTCTAGAAATTAAGACATGGGGTGTGGCATCAGTAAGCCGTGCCATTCTGCGTCAAGCCGATGCTTTAAATGGCATTTTTCAAGTCTTGCCTTCTCCAGAAGAGTTAACCTACAGAGTTAAGGGGAGAATTCATGCCCTCCTGAGGAAACCTTGCCGGTTCAACCTGTCTCCTGGGCTCTTGCTAGCTTCCCCAGGGAAAGGGGAAGTCTATGGAGGCCATTGCCCCAGGGAAAGAGGAAGTCTGTGGAATGGAGTCATTTAGCCATGTGGCTGGCTCTGGCTCTGGCTCTTGCCTGGCCCATCAGAAGCAGTGTCCAAAGAATGTCCACGGGGTCCTGGAGGGGCACAGGAATCCTCCCCTTCACAAAAGTACCCCAAGTGGGAAACTGCTAAATCCTCACAAGTCCTGCTGGAGCTCCCATCTCTGCTCCAGCTTCATGCTTCCCTAGGAATGGCCACCTCCCTGGACAGAGGGGCCGCACTGAGACAGAGGTCAGAGAAGGAAGATGACCAGAGCCAGCAGCAACTAAGCAGAGAATGCCAGGAGGCTGGATTCAGCCTGCCCAGAGCTTCGGGAGAGGACATAAAGGAAAATATGCACTCATGACTGAAAAGACTTGTTCCATATTATACTACGGCTGGTGTCAGCACTATATATTTTTAAAGGTTTGTTTATTTATGCATACAGAAGTGGGGTACAGGCCAGAGGCACAGCAGCAGTGAGAGGAGTCACCAGAGACAGAGTGGGGAGCAGAACAGGCTGACAGACGAAATACACTGCTGAGGGGAGCAGTCGGTGAGATAACAGAGGTCTGCTGCGCCATGTGGATCACCTCTGGGGCCGGGGATCGAACTGGCACTGAAGTAGCTGAGGCCAGCTTTGCAGTGCTGCACTCCAACCTGCTGTGCCACCAGGGAGGGCCCTCAGCGCTACAGTTTTGAGTGCACCTTAAAAACAGCAGCGCTGTGATCAGTTATAATTATTATGGTTCACTATATATTAGTGAGTATTATGCCTCCCTATTACTACTGCCATCAACAATACTGTGAGTAGAGCTGCATTATTGAGTGTTCCTGGATGCTCTCTCGTAACCGACCTCCAGTGTGACAAGGTTCTCTATTTCACAGATTAAAAAGCCAAAGCCTGGAGATCAGACTGACCATAACGAGCCACTCAGGGGGCAAGTGGTAATTCACATGTACATTTCAGTGACTCCCGTTGTCTTCTAATCACCAGTTGGTTTACGTGTGGTTTTTCTGAACATGCTAGGAGTTTAGAAAAAAAGGAAGTCAGGCAAATTTCACAAATCAACAATCTGTTAAGTATCACATCCTGTACCGCCACAAACTTGGGGCTAGGGAAGAGCTCGTGACTTTCAGAAGATGAAAACAAGTAGGAAATTCTGACAGGACTGTCTGAAAACCTAGAATTAAAATCTTCTGGGAGTTTCTGAGCGCTCAGCTGGAAGCAACAGGCTGGTGGTCCAAGGGCCCAGGTAGGCGCTGCTAAAAGTCTGTCTTCAGCTCCCCTCTCCCTGTGAGGGGATATTTGATTTGAAGTTCCCTGAGAGAAGTTAAGAGGCACCAGTGTTTGGGAACGGAAGCGTGCCCAGGTATGGCGGTTTGGGTATTGCCTGTGTTTGCTGTTTGCCAGCTGCATGACCTTAATGGGTCCCTTCCGAAGGTCATGGGCTCAATAGCAGCTCTCGTCTCTTCTGATGTTGTCAGGCCCTACAGAGACTGGGCCTCACAGGCTGGGCACTGGTACAGGGCAAGGGGATCCAAGCTGACTGGCCGTTCATGCTATGGGCAACTTGATCCTTAAGATTGTCGAGAACAGGGCCCAGGCGTTGAACCTACCGTAGGCCATCAAGTCTTGCTCTTACCTCTGCCTGCTTCTCTGACACGCACTGCTGTTTCCAGATGGGAGGGGAAGAAGGAGCACAGGTTAGTGGTTGTGCAAAGGCTTTAGACTTGGTGATTGTTGGCGTTCACAGCTTTCCAATTGTGTGAACGTGCCATGTAATAATTATCCCTGCAAATATTTCCTCACCATATACCTTGTGCCTGCATCTGTGCAGTGTGTTTTATCTCCATTCATCATAAACATCATGATTTTGAGTTTCCCTGCTGTATTATTTTTAACTAATTTAACTAAACATACACAGTGATT